GTCCTGAGTCAGTCTCAGACTCTTGAGCCATCTCTGGAGCCTGTGCCATGGGGGGAAGGGCAGGCTTGGGGTCCCGGAAGCCACCTGCCCAGGGTGTGTGATGGTCTCTTCAGCCCCCGTCTCTTCAATACCCAGCCTCCTTTCTGGTTTCCTGTCATTCTGTCCTCCCCAGGGAGGGGAGGGGCACTGCTCTCCCCAGTGGTGAGGGGGCGGGCTCCAAGACCGTTGGGCGCCCTGAGATCTGGCCCACGTGGCCTGGGGGTTATAAGCCCTGCCCTCCCTGAAGGGAACCCCACTTTGGAGCTTGAAGCACAGGGCTTGCTGTCCTCAGCCCTGCAGCAGCAGGTAAGGGCCGGAACCTTCACTTCAGCCCCAATTGGGGCACCTGCATCTGGGCCTCAAGGGGCCAGGACGGGCTTGGGTTGCAGACTCTCGGTGGGGATGCTTGGGGGCAGTCAGGGGCCTGGGTGACAAGGCTTATGAGTAAAGCTCAAGGCGAAGAGGTCCAAAGACCCTCAGATCTACTGGCTGTCATAGTAGGACAGTTCTTCAAAATCCTCTCTAGCCGAGGGGGGTAAAGTGGCTTCTGGCCCCCAGATGAAGAAAGAGCTGTGTAATGTCTGAGAAAAGAGGGCTGGGGAGTAGAGCGGGAATGGCGGAGGGTGGGCCGAGACTAAAAGGTAGGACCGATGCCAGTGAGAGGTGCTGGGCGTCTTCCTCTGCCCATCATGGCCACCATTTCTATTGGGATACTCTTGGGTTATGGCCTGGGGAGCAGCAGGGCAGTGAGGGAGTCAGGGCCATTGAGTGGTGAAGAGTCTGAGGCCCAAGGCCTTGGGGATTGGGGGTATGTGGCTGCCTCATTTAGATTCTGGAGGGTGGGCAGTGTGTCTGGGAAGGGCCAGCCAGGGAGTCACAGAACTGAGGACTGGGGTGAGGCCTCCAGAGGCCATGGTCTCTACCTGAGAGTCCCTGAAAGTAGGGGACGAGGTGGAGCCTTAAGGGGGAAGGGAAGAAGGAACCAAAGAGGAAGTGGGGGAGGGAGGTAGAGGAGGCAAGTCTGGCGCCATGCTGAGTCACCGCCCTCAAGGCCCAGGGCGGGCCCTTTGGGGGCCTTGAGCAGGGTGGCAGGAACCATGGGGAAGGCTAGGGGCTCTCGAAGCAAGAGTCAGGAGGAGCAGGCAGCCTGAAGAATACACACGGATGGACAGACAGTGCAGTCACCCATAAAGTAGAAAGCACTACTAACAGCACTGGAGGGTGTAGTGTTTCCTACTTTATGGATGAGTGTACTGTGGGCTTCGGAGACCACGCCACTGCTGCTGCCACCATCTTCCTCAACTCTCGGGACCTAATGTGACAGGTAAGCACCTCATGGCCCTCCGCCACCTACCCAGACCCCCGAAAGTCCTCCATGGCCACCACAGTGCTGCCCTTCCTGGTTCCGGATAACCAGGAAAAAGCCACAGCAGCCTCTCTGCTGCCCTGGAGTCTGGGGTGCAGGCAGGGCTGGACACGTGGATTCCTGATGCAGTAGCCACAAGCAGAGGAGGAGGCTGGCAAGGGAGGGTAGATGGAGGGAGGGGAATGGGTGGTGGTGCCAGGGACCCCAACACTAATAAAGAATGGATTCTGTTTCTCTTTTGTCTAAGACTCTGTTACTGGGGGGAGGGTGTGCTGCTTGCAGGTGGCTGGCACGTGGATAGTGTGTGAGCGCACAGAAGGGCTGGGAGGGAGGCGTACTCTCAGTCTCCTGAGAGAAATGGATTAGGCCCTGACTATGAGGTCAGAAGAGGCTCCTGGGGCTGGCCAGGCCATAGCTGGAGGAGCAAAGGGCCTGGGCAATCTGCACAAAGCTGGCAGGGCATGGAGGGGCAGGGATGTGAGGGCCTCTCCCACCTTTTACTCTAGCCTTGCCCTGCTGTTCACTCTCCACTCCCAAATCTGAAGTCTGCCTAACTCCAGTTTTCTATGTGTGTGTCTTTTTTAAAGAGATGGGGTCTTGCTCTGTTGCCCAGGCTGGAGTGTAGTGGCACAATCATAGCTCACTGCAGTCTCAGATGATACTCCTATCTTAGCCTCCCAAGTCTCTTGGATCAGAGGCATATGCCACTGTGCCTGACTCCTACCAATTCTAATCTACGAAAGTCTAGGGGGTCCTTTCTAGCATAAGAATTGGGTGAAACCCCACTATGGCATACACACACATCATCTTATACATAGACAAGGGCTCAGATACTAATAGACAAAGCACATACACCTCAGCATGCATGTGTATTTAAACACAGAGGCCCATTACTTGTATGCCAGGACCACAGATGTACACTGGCACACACACACAGAGGTATACACATTTTAAGAAAGGGAAAACTGTGTTAAAATTGTAATAACTCAATATATACTGATAACAAAAGATGAATACAAGGCACATTGAGTACTTCTTGTAATTGGAGAAGTCAAATGTGAATGGAATATTACAAGTTTAATATAGTTTTTTCTTTTCTTAAAAAATGTATACATTTTTTGCCACTCTCTGTATATATACATATAATTATACATATCTATATACATGTGACATGGCTGGCATGTCACACAGGAACACACACCCAAGACACAGACATATTCAATAGTATACACACATGCAGTGATATAAACACAACACGTGTCACACATAGAAGAGCATACACAGACACACAGAGTGACATTCACAGAATAACACAGTAGCACCATCCATATACTTATATAGTTACATACTCATAATAAATATAAAATAGATCCATGGTGAGATATGTATGTAAATAAAACCACATCATTACACATATTTACAAGGCTATAAGTGCAACATTATATATAGCATAATGCCATATAATGATATCCATATCCATATATCATTATGTATTATAATTTATAAACTCACACGATGACAGTCTCATAAACGTAACAGCACACACAGACACTGTGGCAAATGAGACATATGTGCAATGACACGCACAGAGATATGCATACATATACAGCCAATGAGACCCATAGACATATAGCAGCACATGTATATAATGCCCCCCTATACAGAAATAAATGTATGTCTAGGTATGCATACTATACATATGCATGAACATAATGGCATGCATGTCTATCCTGACCTAAACATCAGCAACTCACACATGCGGTGGCATGCATATTAATCTACACACTGCTTTAGGGAAGTAAAGATGTCATCTCCTCCTTCCAGCTCCATTGGCTTTGGCCTGGGTGGAGCCCCTAGTCAGACTCTGAGGTTCAGTATTGCTGCTGCTATTCTGCGAGAGGGCCACACGAGGGCCCCACCTTGGCTGAGATTGGCTTGTCTGCTGAGTCCCAGGTTCAGAGGGGAGAGGGGCTGCCTCTGGGGCCTCTCCCAACACTTCTGTCTCTGGGAACTCCATTCAGCCCCCTTCCCCCTCATATAGGCTGACTCCTGGGTGGAAGAGTTGGAGTTCCTATATCCATATCCCATGTCCCCTAAAAGCTGTTTTCTTATAGCAACAAGGCCTAAGGCCAGTCAGAAGATGAACTTCCTGACAGTTCAGGGAAACCCAATGGGCCATTTGGTCTTCTCTGCTGGCCTGGGACAACCAGGTTGCCCCCTACAAATGCAGTCTGCCAAGAGAAAGCTGAAAGAATTCTCTCGGCCTATTTCTACCTCTGCTTCTTTGCTTTTATCTTCCTGTTGTCATCTCCTTAATTTTTGTTTCTCTCCTTTTTTTGTCTCAAATCCAATCTTTTCTTGTGCTGCCCTTCTCTGTGGCTAGATCTCTGTCTACCTGTCATACCCTCCCTGTGTCTGTCTCTACCAGTCTCACCTGACATGATGTAGGAAGGACGAGCTGCAGCCGCCTGCCTCCATACCCTGGAAGGTGTGAGGGTGTGTGGGGATGAGGGGTGGGAGGTCATATGTGGGGGGACTGGGGGACACGCAGGGCCAGCATCCCGTGAGAAACCTGCTCTTCCCTCTGTCCCAACCCTGTCAGCCGGTCCAGCCCACCAGTGCAGCGCCATTGCCATGGAAACCAGCAGCCGACTTCCTATTGGTGGGCGGGAGGGGAGGAGGAGGGGGAGGGGAGGGCTGGCTCTCCCCTGCCCGCCCCCCCATCCTGAGGCTCAGCCCTCCTCGGCGCCCACCATCTCAAGGCTCCCGGACTGTAAGGGACCCCTGCAGTCCCCAGAGCTGAGGCCGGCAGGGGCAGAGACTATGAGGCAAGCAGCTCATCGGCCCAGGCCTCCTTAGGACCAGCCTGCCACCCAGCAAGCGAGAGAGAGAGAGCAGCGGAGAGGGAAGCAGGAGATAAAGGACCTCAGCGGGCCATTGGGGATCACCCCTGGCAGCACCTGAGGACTCTACCCAGGTGGAGGAGTCGTGATGGATGGCCAGGTTCACAGACACTGACAGACACACAACCACACCAACGCACACAGCTACACAACACTGACATACTCAAATACAACCAGTGACAGCATCACACACTGCCACAGCCCTGCAATCCAGGCACCCACACGCACACAGAAACAACTGGTAACTCTGAAACAGGCAGACAGTGACACACAGCACCACTCCCCTCAACACACATAAGTGGGGGTACCCATCCTCCAAATGTACATAAGACAGTGTTGACCTGCATGGACAGACCTGGAGACACACATATACCCTCACCCGGGCTCGGCTGTCAGTGGCCTCTGCACAGACTCCCCACCCCCACAGGGACACCCTCACTCCTTCACATACTTGCGCACACACAGCCACAAGCAAACATAGCTCACATACCCCTAGCTCCAGCTCCGGCAGCCCCAGCGCCTTCTGCAGCCTCCTTTGTGGGAGGGGAAGAGCTCAGCCAACCTTGGATGGAGCCTCGGTGAAGCCAAGCGCTCAGTGGGGAGAGGGTCTAGCCTGGCATGACCCTCGCTAGTCCCCCCACTTTGTTGGGTGATGTTCTCCAGCCTGGGTTCTGGGGCCCCTTGGCAGCACCATGGAGCAACTGACAACTCTCCCACGGCCTGGGAACCCAGGAGCCATGGAGCCATGGGCACTGCCTGCCTGGCAGAGCTGGACTCTAGGCCAGGGGGGTGAACCTGGGGATGCATCCCCAAGCGTTGCTGATACTCCTTCGGCAGCTCTGCAGGTTAAAGAACTGAGGCTTGAAAAGAGTTCTGAGCCCAAAGGAGGCTGGAGCTCTGGGCCGATGGGGGGCATTGATGCTGAAGGAGCAGAGGCTGAACTGCCTGGCCTGGGGCAGCAAGCAGCAAGCTCTGGATCTGGCTGCCTGAGACTGGAGGATGAGGCAGTGGAGGCTGTCCCTAAGGTAAGGGAACTGCAGAGGGCTGGGGTTTGCCAGGTGGGAGGGGTCTCTCACCATGTCCCCCTAGCCTGGCCAGGAGGCACAGCAAGATATGCAATGCTATGGCCCACTTCTCTTTTGGCCTGTCTCTGTCCGTGGGTCTGTCTCTACTATTTGTCCTCCCTTCATTGGACAAGAATCTCAGTGGTTCTATTTTTTTTTGTCATTCGTCTGTTTTTCTGACTCTCTCTGCCAGTCTGTCTACATTTGGCCCTGCCCCTGCCCACTCCCCCAACCCCACCTCTGACAGTCTGTCTATCTGTGTTATCTCCATGAGTCTGTCCTTGGGGGCTATGGAGGTGTATGGTGGAATCAGAGTCCAGTGGAAACAGATTCAGGGGAGGGGCTCAGTGCTAGGCTGCACTAGGGCTTGGGGTGGGTGTGAGCAGTCTCCTGCAGAAAGGGAGGGATCAGGATTTTGGGTGGGGGGCAGAAGACTCACTGGCTATGAGGAGTCTCAGGAGAAAGGAATGGGAGCTCAAGCTGGTATTTCCCAGGAGGAGAAGATGGGGAGTATCAGGGAACAGCAGGAAGGTCCTCAGGCTGGGGGTGCCACTTTGGGCAGGGAGGACTGGGATGGCCCCCTCTCCTAGGCTTCCTGCAGCCCTCTCCGAAGGCCTGCAATATGGGAAAGAACCTTCTCATCTCTGTGTCTTCTTGGATCATGGAGGGGGGAATGCTTGCACATAGAGGGCTCTGACTGGGTGGAGTGGGCTCCTGAGGGGCTATACCCTGTCCTTTCTCATGCCAGGCCAAGCTGAACATGAGCATCAGGGACAGGCCCAATCTGGAGCTGTTGAGGGCCCTGGGGGAGCTGCAGCAGCGCTGTGCCATCCTTAAGGAGGAAAACCAGATGCTGGTGAGGCTTGAAGAGCAGGGTCTTACATTTTGGCTGTAGCCTGGCCCTCTGCTTCAGTGCCCTCTTCACCCCATGGACATCTTTCCAAGTGTGGGCTACATGGTGGTGACATAATCCCAAGACCCAGAGAGGGTGAACCCCCTGACTAGAGTTGCTAAGGACCTGACTGTGAGCCCAGGACTCTAGCCTAAGCCCTGGGCAGTTAGAATTGGGTAGGTGGGGTGTGCGTGTGTGATCCTCATATGCCCCAATTCTGCCTGACCTCTTGTCAGAGGAAGAGCAGCTTCCCCGAGACAGAAGAGAAGGTGAGGAGGCTGAAGCGGAAGAATGCCGAGCTGGCGGTCATTGCCAAGCGCCTGGAGGAGAGGGCCCGGAAGCTGCAGGAAACGAACCTGAGGGTGGTGAGGACAGAAGGCTGCTGGGCAGAGGCTGGGTGACCAAGGAAGAGAGGAACCAAGGGGTGGACCTGAAGGACAGTCTGGGGTTTGAGAGTCATAGATTCAGTACTCACGAAAGCACCAAAGTGGTACTTAGGGGCCTAGGCATAGGGAGGGCAAATGCTGGCCAGGCAAGGTGGCTGAAGGAGGGAGCCAGGGCTGGATGGGAGGTTCCTGAGCAGACAGGGAGCAGGAATGCCACTTGCTGGTGCTGGCTGCAGCCTCCTGCTGAGCTCATCTCAGGGTGTAGAGCTGGAGTGGGGGCAGGGTAAGACCTATCACAGTGGCAGCCCCAAATTAGCAGCACCCTTTGGACCTAAACTAGGATATAGACTTAACCCTTTTGGTTCTGCTTGGGGACTGCTGGGATGGGGGGGAGTGAGGCCTGTTCTGGTCCTCTGAGAACCCAGACAGGGTGTAGACGCAGGAGGCCACACTTCCAGGTTTTCAAGCTAATTCCTCCTTTTGGAGGAGCTAAGGAGTAGGAGAAGTGCCCTGGCCCTCAATTGACCATTAGTCTTACTCCATCTCTGGCTAGGTGAGTGCCCCTGTACCCAGGCCTGGGGCCACCTTGGAGTTGTGCCGGAAGGCCCTAGCTCGCCAGCGAGCCCGGGACCTCAGCGAGACTGCCAGTGCACTGCTGGCCAAGGATAAGCAGATTGCTGCCTTGCAGCGGGAATGCAGGGAGCTGCAGGCCAGGCTCACCCTGGTGGGCAAGGTGCGAGGACGCCCTGGTCACCCCTTCCAACTCAGCTCTACCCAGGGCTATCTTGCCTGGCGTGGGATGCGGACGAGATGTTAATGAGATGCAAATATAACGGATGGTGGAGGCTGCTGGGGAGTAGGTTCCCCTGGCAACAGCCCAGGTGGGAGAGGGAGAAGGGGGTGGAGCCACGAGTCCCAGACCTGGGCATTTCTGTGCTGCAGGCTTGAGGCCATGTGCTGGTGGGTCTGGCTGTATGAATCCACACATATCTCGCCCTGAATGAAGCGATGTTCATAAAACATTTAGCACAGGAGCTGGGCACACATCAAGCACCTAAGAAATAAGTTACTGAGTTTGTGTGCACTTAGATTAGCAAAAGCTTGTGGCTGTATACGCATGCATATATAACCCGGCATGTACGTGGGAGGTTGTGCGCGAGTCCCTCCAGGAAGGCAGAGGGCTCTGCCAGGGATGGCATGGGGCGGGTAAAGGTTAGGCCGAACTACCCTCCCTGTCCCCCGCCCCAGGAGGGTCCCCAGTGGCTCCACGTGCGGGACTTCGATCGGCTGTTGCGCGAGTCCCAGCGGGAGGTGCTGCGGCTGCAGAGACAGATCGCCCTGCGCAACCAGCAGGAGCGGTCCCCGCAGTCCCGGCCCCCAGCCAGAGTAGGGGCGCCGGCCCCCGGGGCCCCAGGAGAGGTGAGCACCCGCGCCAGGGCAGATGTATGGATGGGTGCAGATAGAGGGTTGGGACGACGCCGGGATCTCCCCCTGCACCATATTCAGATCCCAAACGACCTGGTGGTGGCGTTTGCACTCCCAGAGGTTGGAGAGTTTTCCTATCCCGGGGTGAGTCCCCTTCCAAACCTCCCGCACTCATACCTGCGCCGCGCCCGCCCCTGAGAGTTCCCGGGTTCCGCCTTCCGTAGTCCTGTGCCCCACGCGGCCCGCCTGGCCGCCCCTGCCGCGCCGCCAGTGGTACGGCCCGGCAGCAAATCCCTGGTTGCCCTAGCAGCCGCCCGGGGCCTTGCCCGCGCCGCCTCCTCCCGCCCTCCAGCGCCCGCCCAGCTAGCCAGACCCGGCCCGGCTTCCCCAGGGCGGCAGTGCGTCCCCTCCAGCTTCAGGTACTGGCGACCTTCACCGAGTGAGGGACTTAGGTAGTCGCTGTCCCGAGGGCCGAGACCCACTCCAGACTCCCAGAACTTAAAGGTCTAGCTTCTCTCCATCATTATAGGAGGGCAACAACTAGGTCCGCCTCCCTTGGGGAAGACAGGTGGGAGGAGCGACTCGATAGTGACCAAGGCCTTCCAGGCGGGGGGCTGCCTCTTGCTCTGATTTCACCTCTCTGGCTGGCCCAGGGAGGGAGACGTACCTCCCATCAAAACCTGTACTCCGAAGTTTGCAGGGGTAGATGGGAGGTGCAATAGGGTGGGCTCGAGGGAAGGCAAGAGGAAGGATCCCGCCAAGCCCAGTCTGGATGATTTAGAACCTTTAGCTCTGGGAACACCACATCCCTGGGGGCCCAAGCAACCTCCTAATTCTCTGCCAGTCACTGAAGGACGCCCAGGACAGTTATTGAGTGCAGAGCACGGCTCCTGCTGGAAGCTAAAAAGGGAAAGCTTTGGCCTGGATAAAGGACCTATCTCCTGGGGCACACATGGGACCCAGGATCTCTGTACATCAGCTGGAAATGATGTGAGGGGGGTGGGCAGACGGTACCCATCCCCCCCTCTTCCCAGGCAGAGGTCTCGTTGCTGACAGTGTGATGGGGTGAGAAACTTCCCTGGGCAGGCTGGGCTGGGGGCTGGCCGCCCAGGAGGCCCTGTTCTCACCTGCCAACCCCTTGCCTCTGGGTATTTCCAGGCCACACCCCAGGAGTATGTGGACAACCCACTCGTGGTTCTAGGGGAGCCAGAGAAACAACAGAGGGTGCAGCAGCTGGTAAGTCCTAGGTCAAGGGTTGGAGGTGACCTGCTGGGGACAGATCTGCTTTTCCACATGAGGAGCCCTTGATCCTGACCCCACAGGAATCAGAGCTCAGCAAGAAGCGGAAGAAATGCGAGAGCCTGGAGCACGAAGCCCGGAAAAAGCAGAGGCGATGTGAGGAGCTGGTGAGCTCTTGTGGGCAGGCCAGCTCTCTTCCCCCAGGCTGGCCAGGTGGTGGGCTCCCTCTTAGCTTTGCTTTCATCCCTTGTGGCTGATCTAGGTTCCAGGCAGGGGAGGACGGCCTCGTCTGGGAGGAGGGCAGGGTTCTCTGTGTGGAGAGATGAGGAATCTGGGTGCTGGGCCCCCTCCCCAGAGCTCCTCTGCCCTCTTAGGAGCTGCAGCTGAGAGAAGCCCAGAATGAGAATGCCCGCCTGGTGGAGGAGAACTCTCGGCTCAGTGGGAGAGCCACGGAGAAGGAGCAGGTACCAGCTCTGCCCAGGTGCTGTAGAGGCCTGTGCTCCTGCTGGGACCCTGGTCCTTGGCAAGGGGCTTTCTCCTGCATCACCCCCCAGCTCGGGTAGAGTATGAAGGGTATTATTCCTCCTGATGAGGGAGATGGGGGACAAGTGTCACATACCCAGCTTCCTGCCATTGTCCCCTCACTAGGTGGAGTGGGAAAATGTGGAGCTGAGGGGCCAGCTCCTGGGGGTGACACAGGAGAGGGACTCAGCCCTTCGCAAGAGCCAGGGCCTGCAGAGCAAGCTGGAGAGCCTGGAGCAGGTGCTGAAGGTGAGGGGGACAATGTAGAAGTGGGAGGGTAGAGGGCTCTGTCACAGGGAGAAAGCGGGACAGTAGAATCTGCTCTGTGTGTAGGGCACTGGGTTCTGAGGTCAAGTCCTGGTGCTGCCAGTTCCGTGCCTTCTCCAGTATTAATTTCCTTTTTACCAGAGGGAATCTGGAGCAGATGGCATCTGAGGCTCCTTTATCTTAAGTTTTCTATAGAAATGGAGTAGGGGGCTCTGGCCTTAACCCCGAGTCTTGTGTTTCAGCACATGCGGGATGTGGCCCAGCGGCGGCAACAGCTAGAGTTGGAACATGAGCAGGCTCGGCTCAGCCTACGGGAGAAGCAGGAGGAAGTCCAGAGGCTGCAGCAGGTGGGGCAGGAGTGGGGAAAGCTGCTGGACCCCAGCTTCACCATTTGCTCATCGTATAAGCATTCTCTGTGTGCCTGGCACTGTACTAGGCATTTGGGAGGTGGTGGTGAATACAGCTCCCTGGTTCATCAGCAAATAAGCAGATCCACAAACAAGATGATGTCGGACACTGATGATAGGAGATGAACAGGGTAAAGTGGCAAGAGTGACTGGGAGCCCTGGTGAGGCACCACATTAGCAGTCGTCAGGAAGACATCCCTGAGGAGGTGACAGTTGGACTTGCCAAGTAGGAGACATGCTGTGGCAGGGAAGAGCTGGGGGCAGTGGTGTTCTGAGACTTGTGTGGCTAGAACACAGTAAAGGATGGGCAAAGTAGCAGGAGAATTCAAGGCCCAGATCCTGTCTAGCCTTAAAGGCCAGGGAAAAAGTTTGAGTATTTTGCTCTTTGAGTGGTTAGGAGCTGTTGAGAAGTCCTAATCAGGGGAGTAATATAATCTGATTTTCGATTTTACAAAGTCCCAGGGTGGCATCATGGAGGGTAAACTGTGGGAGTAGGTATGGAGCAGGGGGTGGGCTGTGGCCCAAAAGACAGATGGTGGCTGTCTGGACTTAGATGTAGGCAGTGGCAATGGAGACAAGTGGACAGATTGGAAATGTTTTGGAGTGAATTAACAAGAATTGGCCAGGTGAGATGGCTCATGCCTATAATCCTAATATTTTGGGAGGATCTCTTGAGGTCAAGCAGGAATGCAAGACCAGCCTGAGCAAGATTGAGACCCCCATCTCTACAAAAAAGTAGAAAATAGGCTGGGTCTGGTGGCTCACATCTCTAATCCTAGCACTGAGGCTCCTTTATCTTAAATTTTCTATAGAAATGGAATAGGGGGCTTTGGCCTTGACTCTTTGTCAATTCCTTCTCCAAAACATATTTCCAATCTGTTGGAAGGGAGGTGAAGCGGGAGGATGGATCACTTGAGCTCAGGAGTTCAAGACCAGACTGAGCAAGAATGAGACCCCATCTCTACTAAAAGTAGAAAAACTGGCCATGTATAGTGGCAGGTGCTTATAGTCCCGGGTGCTCAGGAGGCTGAGGCAGGAGGATCACTTGAGCTCAAGAGTTGGAGGTTACTGTGAGCTATGATGATGCCATGGCACTCTATTCAAGATGATGGAGTGAGACTTGGTCTCAAAAAATATATATATACATATAGAAAAATTAGCCAGATGTGGTAGCAAGTGCCTGTAGCCTCAGCTCAGCTACTCAGGAGGCTGAGGCAGGAGGATTGCTTAAGCCCAGGAGTTAGAGGTTGAAGTGAGCTACGATGATGGCACTGCACTCTAGCTGGAGTGACAGAGTGAGAGCCTGCCTCAAAAAAAAAAAAAAAAAAAAATTGACAAGGCGTATTGTGGGATTCCAGTTGAATCTCTTCTCTGTCACCCATTTGCTGTATAAACTCTGGTAGGGCGTAGGCCTTTTCACACCCTGGGAGGTGAATGAGGATTTGAGAGGCTGGCAGCCCTGGTTCTGAACTCTGGTTTGGCAAGGTCTGAGTTGTATGTCAGATATTCAAGGAGAGATGTCCCCAGACAGTTGGATACATACAGTTGGAGTTATGGGAAAGCTGGTCTTAGAGATAGTAGGAGCCATCGGTGTGTTTAGTTGTGGGACTAAATGGGACCCGCAAGAGAAAGTTGAGAATATAAAGTGGGCCCAGCACTGTGTCCAGGGGTACCCTAACCTTCAAAAGGGTCCCCCCTCCAGACAAAAGAGTAGAAGGAGCACCCAGAGAGATAGGAGGGAAGCCAGAAGGGGTGAGAGTCCAGAAAGAGAGAAAGTGTCCTTGCTCCTTGACCTCTGTGCCTTCTGGTCTCAGGGTGGGAGTTGGGGAGGGAGAAGCCTTCAGCCTCCCCCTTCCCTATCCCCATTTCCTATGCTCCCTGGCCTTGTCTTTCTTCTCACTCCTTCTCTGCCTTAGCCCTTCTTGCCCACCCTGCCTCACTCCTACCTTTCCCCCAGCCCATGCCTCAGCCCTGCCCTCCAGCATTCTACCTCCTACCCCCTGTAGGCCCAGGCGGAAGCCAGGAGGGAACATGAAGGGGCCGTGCAGCTGCTGGAGGTAGGGTCCTGGGAGGTGGCTCCCAGCTCCTTCACCTTGGGAGGAATGCAGGGGAACTTCAGAAAGAGCTAGAATGGACTGTGTGTGGCAAAGGAGGAGGTTGCCAGTGAGGGGGGCCCTTAAATGCTCTGGGGTCTGGGGGAGTCCCCCCACCATTGGCCTATTTCTCAGGCTGGGCATAGCTGGACAGGGGCTCCTGAGCCTGGTGGCATCAGTCTCTCATTGCTACACCCAAAGTCTGCCTTCCCCCTGAAATATCCCTCCATTTAGGTGAGCTAACTGGGGAGCTGGCTGGCTGGTGTCCACTAGACCTCTCCCCTGGGGAGTTAGTGACCTAGAGGGCTAAGGGTTCTAACCTCTGCCCTGTGCTTTCCTTTCCTGCCACAGTCTACCTTGGATTCCATGCAGGTACAGCCTCACCCCGACCCCCACCCCCTCCCCCACAGCTTCCTCTCCCCCCACTCTGGGTTGGCCTAGCTGCGTCTCCTCCTTCAGGCCCAGGCAGTCCCAACTGTCATGTCCAGTGGAATTGGAGCAGGGGCATCACTGGAGAATTCTCAGGGCATCACACCTGAGAATTTGCAGATAGACTAGGGTTCCTACAGGATCCCTGTGGGCTGTCCCCTTATTCCAAGCCTGCTGCTGGGCCTGGCAGACATGGGGCCTTCCCTCTCTGGCCACTATAAGAAAGTTCATCACCAGTCTAACTTATGTACCTTGTGACTTTGGCCAGGGTAGGTGCCTGATATTGAAACTCTCCTGATCCTGGAGAAAAATTTCTGAGAATTAGCCCATTCCCATCATGAACATGTCCCTAGCTCCCCTATGGGATCTCTTGCCCACCTCTCTGAGGGCAGGGGTTTGGATTGCTGACTGTGGCAGAGTGATAAGTGATGGAGCTGGTGATGGGGTGAGAAGGATCCTTAGAAAGCGGCTAGTAGCAGAGATGCACTGCCTGGGGTTCAAAGGCTGGTGAGTGTGCAGTAGACCCTGTCTTGGCTCTGGAGAGGGCCGGGGAAAAGATGTCTCAGGACACAGCCCAGAACTTCACCCTCTGCTCCACTGAGGCTGGAGCTGGATGGATATGATCCGCAGCCAATGTGGGGCTGCATGGAGGTGGTATGGACTGACATTGGGCAGCTTTGCTGGGCCTGGTGGCTCATGGTGGGTCTTGGCTCAGGCCCGGGTTCGAGAGCTTGAGGAGCAGTGCCGCAGCCAAACTGAGCGCTTCAGCCTCCTGGCACGGGAGCTCCAGGCCTTCCGCCTACACCCTGGCCCCTTGGATCTGCTCACCTCTGCCCTGGACTGCGGGGCCCTTGGGGACCACCCACCACCCCACTGTTGCTGCTCTACTCCCCAACTCTGCCGGGGGTCTGGCCCCAAAGGTAAGGTGGACTTCAGTGACATTGGCCTGGAATCCCTAGGCCTGGGGCTTTTGTATAGAGCAAGGAGTTCAGGGTCAGGGAAGGGCAGTAACTCATCCTAAGTCACCCAGCAGCTTGGAGCTGCGCCTGGCTAGAACAGGCTCTGATGGGGTAAAACAAAGCTCAGGAAAGGGTCTGTTCTGGAGTCTGGCCTAGGCATCTCAGACCATTGCTGTTTGCCCTCCAACAAGACCTCGGGGTCAGAGCTGTGGGACTTGTAAAGCAGTATGGACTTACAAAGAGTCAGGGCTGAGGGCAGTCAGATCTGGAGCTCCCTTAACGGTCTGTGAGATTTGGGGCACTCTGCTCAATCTCTTTGGGCTGCAGTTTCCTAGGCTATAAAACAGGAATCATTAAATGCATCTCAGCAAGCTGCTCTGAGGATCACATGGAATAAGATATGCAAATCACCTACACCTCTATTAGTAAGTTTCCCTCCCAAAGTTCCCTTCTTATAAGGAAAGTCAGCTATAGGGAGAGCCTGACACTGTATCCAAGAAGCTCCACCCCAGCTTCCTGGTTCCTCCTCAGGCCACAGACCCCAAGCCCATGCACAATCTTTTCTTTAGACCTTGACCTCCCGCCGGGCTCCCCAGGGCGCTGCACCCCAAAGTCCTCTGAGCCTGCGCCTGCTACCCTTACTGGAGTCCCTCGAAGGACAGCTAAGAAGGCAGAGTCTCTCTCTAACTCCTCACGCTCCGAGTCCATCCACAACAGTCCCAAGTCATGCCCCACACCTGAGGTCAGTGCTGGCGAAGGGGCTGGGGTTCTGGCTTTGGCTTAGGGAGGTGGGGAGGTGGCCTTGACTTCTTCAATGGTCCCTAGGAGTTGGGTGGCCACTAGACCCATGGTGGGAGGAAGAAGGCCTGTGGATTCCTCCTGCCGGTGGGGAGCTCAGGAGTAGCCTGTCCCTGTCCTCCAGGACCCACAGGCAAGCCCTACCTGGAGGCTACCCAGCTCCATCCCCCAGGGGCCCAGGGAGGCCCTAGAGTCCTGGGCTGGATGGAGGAGACACTTTGGCGCCAGGCTTCACATAATGAGACTGTTCATAAGCACATCTGTAGTGGAAGCAGATGAGAAAGAGCACAGGTTCCGAGATTCAAATCCCAGCTTTGTATTAGGCATGTCACTGACCCTTTGTAGCATTTGGTTTCCTTCTCCAAATACTGGAGCTAATAAAACCCACTTTCTATGGTCGTGAGGGTTAGATGAAAAAATATGAGGCAAGTGCCTGTTTCAGTGTGGGCACACAGTGGACAGTTAACATTTGGCAGCTTTTATTATTACTGAGTCCTGGAGCATCACTCATAGCTCTTCTGATTGCCTCTTTCTACCCACAAACACCAGAAAGTGGAGGGGGCAGGTCCAAGGGTTCAGACCGTGGCATGACGTGGCCGCCACCTCTGCTGCCCCCTTGTGGGATAGGATGGTGGTGCTGGCTTTGGGTGCAGTGGGGCCCATTCTTGGAGGCTTTGGCAGAGAAGACAAGACAGCCTGCTCCCCTAGCTGCCCTTGCAATCTGTACCATGGTCAGGGAATGGGACACCCCCAAGCCATGGACCAGTGGACAGGAAGTTCTGAGTTCCACAGCTGACTGGCAAAAGCACCGACATTGGGCTAGAGGCACGGACTTCTCCAGCTCCTGCCTCCTTGCTCCCAGCTCTTTATAGTCCGGGTGCTTTGCTGTGTTTTCACCTTAACTGCCATCGACACTCACTCCCTACACCAGTGTGGCCTGACCCTCTCAGATAGGGGAGGTAGGCTTATTTCTTGGCTGGTGCAGTAGGGGCCAGATTATTCCCACTTCCCCTGCCTAGGACCTGTGGCTCAAGTGCTGATTTAGACAGCATGGGGGGTGAGGGACGGGCTCATTGCCCCAGCCTTGTCAGGCATGTATGTGCTCACTTTCCATTCTCAAAGAGGTCCTCTGGCTCAGCCTGGAAACCTGCTGGCTTGGCCTTTGGCCCTGGGCCATGAAGAGAAGCCAGCCCTTTCTGTCTATCCCCAGGTGGACACAGCCAGTGAGGTGGAGGAACTGGAGGCAGATAGTGTCTCCCTGCTCCCAGCAGCACCAGAGGGCAGCCGGGGAGGAGCGAGGATCCAGGTCTTCCTAGCACGCTATAGGTGGGTTCCTCACCTTCCCTGCTCCCACCCACAGCATTTAGGGTGTATGGGAGGAGGGGGCTAGGTAAAGACAGAGAGCTCTGAAGGTGGTGTGGGTGGTGCAGGGTGCCCAGTTGGACATATTTTCATAACGTTTTTGGGCCAAGGGGGGTGTGCAGTGAATGCTCTGTTTTGCTAAAGGTGGACAACCAAGTGTCTATAGAGGCTTAGTGCGGTGTGGGAGAGAAGACGGGACATGGAGGTGCAATGTAGGTCGCTGTCCTCCTCCTCCTCTGTACCCCCCTCAACAGCTACAACCCCTTCGAGGGACCCAATGAGAATCCAGAGGCAGAGCTTCCACTGACAGCTGGCGAGTACATCTATGTCTATGGCAACATGGACGAGGATGGCTTTTTTGAAGGTAGGAAGGTAGTGGGGGTCATTCTGTCCCTTCCCCTGCCTTTAAGTCCTTGTTCCCAAAGACCTCCATCCACCCATTCATACCCTCTCCCCAGCAAGCTCATCCCACCATACTTTTTAAGGCTCAGCTAAAAGGCATTCAGAGACCTGGAGGAAGTGGGGAAAGAAAAAGATGGTGGTCTGGCATCAGCCAGGATAGCACAGGGCATCTCACAGTCCAGATGATGGGCAGACTGTCACTGGGAATTTTGGCTAGATTTATTATTGTGCTGGCATATAGGACATGGCAGTGTTTAACATGACACTTGAGGTCAGGCCTGTAGCATAGATTTGATGCTAGACTTCAATCAGTAGAGAGGAAGAGACAGGGTCCAGATCCCAGAAGAAGGTGTTAGTGGATGGTAAGCAGTTGTCAGGGCCCAGGCAGGGCGTGAGCTTCAGGGCAGCTCTCCAGTTCTAGCGGGGAGCCAGAGGACGCACCAGGCAACCACTGCCTCCTTGATTCTGGACAACGGGACAGGGCCTGTGAAAGAAATGGCCTTGGGACACTCTCCTAGGATGGCCCCGGTCTGGGCACCAGGCCACGTCTGTCAGCAGCAGAGAAGATGGCACTGAGTAGAGACTGGAGTGAGGCATGGACAAGGCAGGGCAAGGGCCACAACTGTGTGTGGAGATTTAGGAGAGGAGTTAGAGCTGCATCTGTAACCCTGACAGCTTGGAAGCCTGCTCAGGCCCATTTCTCTGGGCCCTCTGCCTGGGAATGACAGTACCTGGCTTTGTGGCCTAGACAGCTAATCTCCCCAGAGGGGTAGATTATGAAGAGGATGATTAAATAGCTTCCAGGAACAGGATAATTTATTATGAAAAAAATCAGAACAACAAAAAAACTCAAACACATTTTTTTAGAGTGGGGCAGCAAAAACATCAGTATTAACGAACCACAAATTATGAATTTGAACCCTACCATCTTGGGTAGATGGGGATAGATTTAAAGTCATGTTGACAAGTGGGTGTAGGATGCTGTGTTCCTGGTCGATCTCCAGCTAAGGGACTGCTTCATTTATATCACATCTGGTCCAGCGCCGCCTCACTCTGAGCCAGGCTCCAGCTTCAGCCTTGTAAGCTATAGATTTGTTCGATGTGAAGGCTTCTATCTTTTGCCTCCTGCTTCTTAGAGCAGTGCTTGTATTAATTTCCTATGGTGTCTGTAACAAGTTACCACCAACTGGGCTGCTTTAAACAACAGACATTTATTCTCTCACTGGCCTCTTTTGAGGCCCAAACTCCAAAATCAAGATGTTGGCGGGGCTACAAGATTCCCTCCCTTGTCTCCTTCAGCGTCTGGTGGCTCCAGGTGTTCCTGGGCTTGCAGCCACGTCATTCCAATCTTTCTGTCTGTGGTCACATTGCCTCTTCTTACCTGTCTCTCCTCGGTGTGTCTCTCTATAAGGACACTCATCATTAGATTTAGGACCCACCCAGATAATCTCGGATGATCTCATCTCAAGATCCTTAACTTAATTACATCTGCAAAGATGCTTTTTCCAAATAAGGTTGCATTCACGGTTCTAGGGATTAGAACATGGACATACTTCCGGGCGGCCACCATTCACCTGCTTAGAGTGCTCATTATATCTAACTTATCGAGTCCCTATTGTTTCTTCAAGTTTCCTTACTTTTTCCCCGCTTCTAGCATCAGCAGAGTTGGGGTGGGAATCACAAATTACTGCTGGGGAAACTGCAGGCCCTCCTGAACCTCACCCCTACCTACACTCACCCTCTGCCCTGTGCCCCTTTCCTCCCCAAAAGGCACAGCAGCCACCAAAAATTCTGAGAATTTTTTTTCTTTCTTTAAATTAACTGTAACATGTCAGGGTGCCAGGCTTCCAGACATCCCTCAAACAAACAACAGCAAATGTTTTGTGATACTCTATTGTCTTTGGGAGAACTGACACAGGTGATGGAATTGCCCATTGCTCACTGGTCCTGGATTGACAGCTGTCCGTCATGCTCTTGGACATAGGCCTGCTAGGGGGATCCTAATCCTTCTAGAACCCATAAGCGACTCATTTCTCTTTGTCTCTTAAGGCTCCTTCCCTTACCCTAATGTGATGGTTGTTTCCCACTCTCTCTCTGGGGACTAGTTTTTCACAAAGGGAGGTTGAGGGGCACCCCAGCTCCCACTTCTCCGGCCTGCAAAAAACCCACTACCAGAGCTTTCTAGTCAGTGGAATCTGTTTCCTCATCTTGACCTATTAATTATTTTCGTTTTAAATACAACATTTTCTTATTTAATTTTCGAGACAGTGTCTCACTATGTCGCTGTGGGTAGAGTGCCCTGGCGTCACAGCTCACAGCAAACTCAAACTCTTGGGTTTAAGCGATTCTCTTGCTTTAGTCTCCCAAGTAGCTGGGACTCCAGGTGCCCACCACAACACCTAGCTATTTTTTTTTGTTGTAGTTGTCATTGTTGTTTAGCAGGCCCCAGCTGGGCTCAAACCCACCAGCCCCATTGTACGTGGCTGGCGCCCTAGCTGCTGCGCTACAGGCACCAAGCCTAATAATGGGAGGATTTCAAATGTACAGAATAGTACAATGGACATCTGTATACCCACCATGTGGATTCTACAATTAACATTTTGCCATATTTACTTTATGAATATGTAAATTTTAAAATGATTTAAAAACAAATCGTAGATATCATGACATTTTACCCCAAAATACTTCAACGTGCGTGGGTATTCTACATCCTTATATCACTGGGGGGCTGGTTAGAAATGCTGAATTACTAGGCCTCAGTTAGAATTCTGCATTTTAATCCATCTCCAGGTGATTCATATTACACATTAAAATGTAAGAAGCACTATCCTACGGAACCAATATACTATTACCACACCTATGAAAACTCAAGATAATTCTCTAATCCACACCTTTACCGCTCTTGTCTTTTAAAAGCACTGACAGTTAAATGTTGATTTGAATCAAAAGCCTGAGATCACTCACTAGCTAAAATGCCTTTATTCCGCTGGTTTTTCTTTCCCCTCCTCTCTGTCTGTCTCACCCTTCCCTGCCCTTTCTTGTCCTTCCTGTGCCAGGGGAGCTCATGGATGGCCGAAGGGGCCTGGTCCCTTCCAATTTCGTAGAGCGTGTGTCTGATGACGACCTCTTGACCTCCCTCCCTCCGGAGTTGGCCGATTTGTCCCACAGCTCAGGCCCTGAGCTCAGTTTCCTGAGTGGAGGTGGGGGTGGCAGCAGCAGTGGGGCCCAGAGCAGCGGGGGACACAGCCAGTCCAGACTGGAGGAGGAGGATGCAGGAGACGAACTCAGTCTGAGCCCCACACCAGAGGGCCTGGGCGAGCCTCCTGCTGTGCCTTACCCCCGCCGCCTGGTGGTCCTCAAACAGCTGGCCCACAGTGTGGTGCTGGCCTGGGAGCTGCCTCCCGAGCGAGTGGAACTACACGGCTTCCATATCTGCGTGAATGGGGAGCTGCGGCAGGCCCTGGGGCCTGGGGCGCCCCCCAAGGCTGTGCTTGAGAACGTGGACCTGCAGGCTGGACCACTCCGTGTTTCTGTCCAGGCCCTGACCAGCCGGGGCAGCTCCGACCCTCTGCGCTGTTGCTTGGTGGTGGGTGCTCGGGCCAGACTGGTACCCAGCCAGCTGCGAGTCCATCGGTTGACAGCCACATCTGCAGAGATCACCTGGGTGCCCAGCAATAGCAACTTGGCCCATGCCATCTACCTCAATGGGGAAGAATGCCCACCTGCCTGCCCTAGTACCTACTGGGCCACCTTCTGCCACCTTCGTCCTGGCACACCCTATCAGGCCCGAGTAGAGGCTCAGCTCCCACCCCGAGGGCCCTGGGAACCAGGCTGGGAGCGACCAGAGCAGCGGGCTGCCACCCTGCAGTTCACCACACTCCCAGCAGGTATACAGGCTTGGGCTCTGATGTCCATAACATGCAGAAGGCCAGGCCATGGGTGACACAGAGAAGGGAGATTGGAAATGCAAATCGGGCTGGTATGTCTGGCAGGAAGTGTCTTGCATTGCTGGGTCTTGTGCCTCCCTTTCCCCAGGCCCACCAGATGCCCCCCTGGATGTACAGATTGAGCCAGGGCCCTCCCCTGGAATCTTGATCATCAGTTGGCTCCCAGTCACCATCGATGCTGCTGGTACCTCAAATGGTGTCCGTGTCACAGGCTACGCCATCTATGCTGATGGGCAAAAGGTATGGCCTAGAGACTCTACCCATCTGTACCCTGGGATTAGTGTGCGCCCCTCCTTGCTCAGAGGCCTATGCTTCCTGGCCTGGCACAGAGATGCCCAGCACTGGCACTTGGGCACTATGTGGCAGATTTGTAAAGAGCATGGACTTTTGCAGCACATGATGGATTTGAAAACTGTGCCACCACTTGAAGCCAAAGCCCAGGAGAATTAAATGAGATAGGCAGGCAAAGGGCTTAGCATGATGCCTGGCATAATGGCAGTCACCACTGCTATTGTGTCCTCATACTCAGCCTCCCCTTCCCTTCCTGCATTCCCTCCATCCTGCAGATCATGGAGGTGGCCTCCCCCACAGCGGGCAGCGTGTTGGTGGAGCTGTCCCAGCTGCAACTGCTGCACGTGTGCCGCGAGGTGGCTGTGCGCACCATGTCACCCCATGGCGAGTCAGCCGACTCCATCCCAGCTCCCGTTGCGCCAGCCCTGGCTCTGGCTTGCCTGCCAGCCCAGATCTCCTGCCCCTCGCCACGACCAAGCCCAGAGGCCAGACCACCCCTTGCTACAGCCTCCCCAGGGCCTGAAAACCCGAGCCCTCCTCCCCAGCTCTCTGTCCCCCGTGGAACTCAAGATCCCCCAGGAGGCCCCCCAGCAAGCCCTCCCAGAGAGACACCGAAAAGATCCCAAGAGGAACCTCCAGCACCTTGTGCCCAGGTACCTTGTCTGGGGGGAGAGGAAGCAAGAGCAAGTTTGGACAAAGCCTGTGGCCTGGGCCCTTCCTCAGTGCCTGCCATTCCAGGAGGCAGCGGGGGCAGCTGTGCTGGGTGCCTCGGAGGAGAGGAGAGGTCTCGAGCCAGCCCAGGGGGAGAGGGCCCCTGGCCCTGCCGCTCCCTCACTGGCTGAGCAGGAGGCCGAATGGACTAAAGGAGAGGCCCGCCCGGCACCTTGCTCCACCCAGGCAGTGGTGGCTCAGCAGGCACCGAGCCTTGAGGCTTGCCAAGGAGGAGACACAGGGTCTGGGCTGAGGCCCAGAGCTGAGGTAGGGTTGGGGACACACTATATTACCTCAAAGAATCAGGGCCTGCCTCCCTGGGCCGGCCAACCCAAATCTGGCTGTCCTCTTTGCTTGTCCACTGCTCTGGTCCAGCGCTGACCCCTTTGTTGCCTGTTTCTTTGTGCGTTTTCTTCCCAGATTTCTCTGCCCAGTTTGGCCCCTGTCCTTCCCCCACTCCCACCCCCTTGTGTACATCCCCATTCTGCTAAAAAGCTCCTGCTCCCCTCCAAGAGACCCTTTCTACTGTGGCTGGAGCCAACCTGCCTGGACCCCCCTGCACGCCCTCACTGTCCTCCTCTTTCTCCCGTCTTCTTTCATCTCTTATAGAGGGAGGATGCATCAGAGCTCAACACTCATCCGGTGAACTCCCTTGTGGACCACAGCCGAAACTCAGACCTGTCTGACATCCAGGAGGAGGAAGAGGAGGAGGAAGAGGAGCTGGGTTCCCGGACTTGTTCCTTCCCGAAGCAGGTTGCTGGCAACAGCATCAGGGAGGATGGGGCCAAGGTAATGGGACTGAGAGGGGCTGGTGGGCCCCAGACCTCAGGCTCCAGGGGCCTCGACCCCATGTGTCAGCGGCTGCTCCAGCCACCACTGAGTGCCACCAACATTCTAGGTGTGTGGCCTGGGCCCTGTCCTAAGCAGCAGTTCTCCTGGGAAGGAAGGAGGAGTAGCTCTTTTCTGTGCCTTCTGTCCCTCCAGCTCCCAGAGGCAGTGCCCTGGCTAGGGAAGCTGGTGCCACCTGAGATCTTTGTGCTGGGAGCTTCTGGGAGGGGATGGGGAGACCTCTCCACTGTGACAGGCCTGGCCTGCTCTCTAGTGCTCCTGTTCCCCAGGGGTTGGTGCCTTTTCCTTGGGTATGCTTCCTCATTTTTCCTCTGGCTCTGCTGGGCACGTGTGTGACTCTGTGCCAGACACTGTCCCTCTGGTTCTTTCCTCTCAGGGGAAGCCATGGAGGGTTGTGAGTTGCCTCTAACCACTGCCCTCATTTGGAGGCAAAGATCACAGCTCTCTCCTCTTCCCCACACGCCTCTCTTCCCTGCTGCTCCCTACTCCCCATTCCCACCCCAGCCCCAGCCTGACCCCTTTTGTGAGACTGACAGCGACGAGGAGATCTTGGAGCAGATCCTGGAGCTGCCCCTCCAGCAGTTCTGCAGAAAGAAGCTTTTTAGCATCCCGGAGGAGGAGGAGGAGGAAGAAGAGGAGGAAGAGGAGAAGCCGGGGGCAGGCTGTTCTTCCCGAGACCCTGGCCTACCTGAACCTGTGTTGCTGGGGCTGGGCTGTGACAGTGGTCAGCCCCAAGGACCTGGCCAGTGTCCCTTGTCTCCTGAGCCATCCAGGGCTGGGGACCACCTGGAGGACATGCCTGGGCTAGTTGGTGGAAGTGGCCGGAGGAGAGGAGGGGGTTCCCCTGAGAAGCCCCCAAGCCGCAGGCGGCCTCCAGATCCCCGCGAACACTGCAGCCGACTTCTCAGCAATGGCGGGCCCCAGGCTTCTGGACGACCAGTCCCCATGCGGGAGAGGGGTGGCCTCCCTGTGGTTGAGGGCACCAAGGGTGGACTAGAGGCTGGTGGGAGAGGGCGGCCAGGCTCTTCTCGGAGGTGCCCTCGTGGCCAGGCCCTGGAATCTGGGCTAGCCAGTTGCCTCTCCCCCAAGTGCCTGGAAATCAGCATTGAATATGATTCGGAGGATGAACAGGAAGCAGGCAGCGGGGGCATCAGCATCACCAGCTCCTGCTACCCTGCAGATGGGCAGTCCTGGGGCACAGCACCTGTAGGAAGGTCCAGGGGGCCTGTGAAGGTCAATTCAGGCCCCAACCCCTACCCTTGCCTCCCAGCCTGGGAGAAAGGGGAGCCAGAACGGAGAGGCCACAGTGCGATGGGCAGAGCCAAGGAGCCACCCTCCCGGGTCCGTGCCCGCTCCCCACCCTGGGCAGCCCCCTGCCTGCTGCCGCCTGGTGGCCCTGCTTGCTGCCCACCAGCCAATCCCATTCCACGCTGCCGCCTCCATCAGCAGAGGTGGGGCTGGGCCTCTGGGCTCCCTCACCTGCCGCCTGCCACCCACATTCCATTGCTTTGCTGCTTCTGCTGATTGGAACTGAGATGCACACTATTCTGTTGTCACTAGTCACCGCTGCTGCCATGGGGCAGGGTCGCCCTTTCCTCTGCGTAGCTAATTACAGCTTTAAGACACTGACTGTGATGCCATGTCAAGTCACCCAGCCCTGATGCTGACGGGAGGCCCTCCTCTCACACATTCCTTGGCTAAATCCAGTCCCCTGTACCGCACTCATCTTCTGGGGGGGGCGGGGACTGGGGCCTCCCCTCCTGCCCTTCCTCCCTCGGATGTCTCCAGCAGGCTAGGTCAAGGCTGCAGGAGAGGAACGCTGTGCTCATGCTCTGCTGTGCTGCTTATGCTGATGGGCCAGAGCAGGGGTGCGCGGGCGGGGTCCTCTCACTGAGGAAGGGCCTGCCAGAGGGCTGGGGCATCACTTCTGCCATCTGTTGCCCTCTCTTTGCAGCCAGCAGAGACTGGAGAGCCCAGAGGGCAGGACAGCTCTGGGAGGAGGGGCCCCCAGAGGAGAGGGTCCCGAGCCCCCAGGCCAGGCACCACCGAGCTAGGTGAGCACCTGAAGGGGGCTGGGCTAGGCCTGTGGGGACTTTTCCTGACCCCTTGGCCAGAGCCTACTGAGTCACTACCCTCTCCCCACCTGTCTGCCCAGCCTTCCCAAGGACCCCCCAAGAAGTGCTGGCTCACCAGGACCTACCTGCCAGGGTCTTTGTGGCACTGTTTGACTATGACCCCGTGTCCATGTCACCCAACCCTGATGCTGGAGAAGAAGAGCTTCCCTTCCAGGAGGGTCAGATCCTAAAGGTAACTGCCTCTCTGGGCCCAGAGCTCCAAACCGTCTAGCCAGGTCTTCCCTCCCTCTCTTCCTCCACTGGAGGTACTGTGGTGGAGAACACAGAGCCAGACGTGGTGGTTCGGACCCTGACTCTGCCACTGCTAGCTGTGTGATCTTGAGTAGACTACCTGAGCCCGTGGGGCCTGAGTTCTCTCACTGGTAAAATGGGGATATCATTAGGGTACCTTATGGGGTATATGTGGATTAAAAGATTCAATGTACATAAAGTGCTTGAACTGCCTGGCACACAGTCAGCACAATATAACTGTTTGCCACTGACATTACTATCTTTATTATTCCTCCAAGTATTGACTGGAGGCTCTTCGCTGTTGCTCTGAGATTAGGGAGATCCAGTCTAGGGTAGATGGAGGGAATGGCCCTGTGGACAGTGGAGGAGGATGATACACAAAGGGCTGTTTTCTCTTACCCCTTTGATCCCATTCTTTGCTGTTTCCCCCCTTTTCTGTTCCACAGCCCACAAAAGGGAGAACATGCTTCTGTAGTCCCATGTGGGGTATTGCCAGGGTTTAGGGCCAGGGGGCACAGGGAGCAGCTGAACTGGCTTCCTGTAACAACTCTTTGCCTCCAGGTGTTTGGGGACAAGGATGCCGATGGCTTCTATCGGGGTGAAAGTGGGGGCCGAACAGGCTACATCCCCTGTAATATGGTGGCTGAAGTGGCTGTGGACAGTCCTGTGGGGAGACAGCAGCTGCTCCAGCGGGGTTACTTGTCTCCAGATGTTCTCACTGAAGGCTTAAGTATGTCCTGCTGCTGTCCCCCCCATCTCCTACTACCCCAGTTCCAACTCCGTCCCACCCTGAGCGATCGGCGTGTCTGGGGTATTCCAGTTACCCAGAGACTAGCAGAGCTGCTGGGGTTTTGCAGCCACACCTGTGGGCTGGTCACCTTGGGGAGTCTGTTGCTGAGGGGATGGGCCTGCTGCGAGAGGGTGGTGGTGCTAGTCAGGAATTTGGGGCCGTGGAGGTCAGATGGGGCTCTTGTCTGGGATAGGAGATGAATGCCCCTCAGAAATAAGTCTAGGAATCCTGGCCCAGCCCTGAGAGGAAACTGTGGAGTCCTATCCCATCATCTCCCCTGCCTCAGTTTCACTCTTATATATACTTGCCTTCCTGGATCAGGGAATGGTACCTTTGTGTACTCCACAGCCCGCGTAACTGGGCCTCCTCCCAAGCCCCGTCGCTCCAAGAAAGGTGGGTAAGACCCTATTCTCCCTCTGGTGCCTGTGAGAGTATTTATGTGGGTGGGGGAGGTGCTGCCTAGCTCTCTAGGGGACACCTGTGGGGTTTTAAGCAGGTAGAGGGGATCAAGGCAGACCTTCACCCACATTCACTCTCCCTGGGAGGGACTTTGTTCCAGTGGGGACGGGGGTTGGTTTGTGGAGACCTCTGTTCCCAAAGGTACCTGACTATGACTGTGCAGACTGGAGCAGCTTTTTACCCTCTCTGGGCCTTAGTTCACTACCAGATCGAAGGGCTGGGTGGTTGTGTGGAGCCTCCGTATCAAAGCGAGCATCTGTCTGCCCTCTCTGCCCCAGGCTGGGGTGAAGAGGGAAGGGAGGGATGGGCTCATGGGCACATTCTTTTCACAGCTGAGCCTGAAGGCCCTGCCCAGCCCTGTCCAGGTAAGGGCCATGCCTGGGCTGGGGAGATGGGGTGGGTGACCCCTTTGGCTTCTCAGGGGCTATGGCTAGTAGGGAGGAGGTATTAGGGGGTCAGCAGGGTTCCAGTGGAGAGGATAGTATGGGATGAGCATTCTTGAGAGAGAGTCCTGAGTCTTCTTCCTCTCCCCCTTACAGCCTCCCCCATGCTGATCCCCTCTGTTGACTTAAAAGCTCCCCGCTCCATGGTGGCTGCATTTGACTACAACCCCCGGGAGAGCTCCCCCAACATGGACGTGGAGGTGAGGACTCTCAGAGCCAGTGCAGGGGGCGGTGGCAGGGCCTCCCGGGGCCTGACGCTGCTCCTCACTCTCGACAGGCAGAGCTGCCCTTCCGGGCAGGGGATGTCATCACTGTGTTCGGGGGCATGGACGACGATGGTTTCTACTATGTGAGGATGTTGTGGGGGAGGGTGCAGCATACCCCAGCTCACCAGAGTTGGGCAGGGGGGTGGGTGAGAGATCTCGATGGCAGTCTTGACAGTGATTTTGGCCCCTGGGGAACAGCCTGGACCAGCCTCTTTGCTGGTCTCAGCCTCACAAACCTTTCCTCCCCAGGGGGAATTGAATGGACAAAGAGGCCTGGTTCCATCCAACTTCCTGGAGGGCCCTGGGCCTGAGGCAGGAGGCCTGGACAGGGAGCCCAGGACACTCCCAGCTGAGAGTCAGGTCAGTGGGGAGCAGGGCTCCAAGCTCAGCAGCTGGGCTCCACCCTCCTGCCTTGGTGGTGAGGGGGGGATATTTTGTGGGAGGGGTGTGGCTGGGGAGATGACACAGGTCTGCACCGTGCCTAGGGCAGAGCTGCTGAGTTACCACCAGTGGGGAGCCTGGGTAGGCAGCTCCCCACAGTATGTGCCCCTCTATACCCCAGGCAATCTGACACAGCTGCCAACACCCTGGGGCTGGTACAGGTGAGGGAACCCTGGGGCAAAGCACACCTCTTGCCCCCCCCACCCCCAGCCAGTCATAGCTCCTGCTTCAGGTGCTCTGCCCTGCTGCGGCTTCCAGCCTCCCAGGTGCCTTTGGAGACCAATTGCTGAGCAAGGCCTGGCTTCCTTGGGGGGGGGGAGGTGGAGGGCAGATAAGCTCCAGCCTCAGAGGGCGGGAGATGGTGAGGAGGCCCAGCCGGAAAACCCAGGGCTTCCATGTGCAGTAGGTCTTAATGCAAAGGTTATGCCCAGCGGGGCCCACCCTGCCTCTGGGCCACCTGGTGACTGGGTGGACAGCGTGTGGGTCTGTCAGTAACCCATCTCCTCTCTTTGTTCCCTGTTCTCAGAGAACGAGGAGGAGAAGAGTCCAGTGCTAGATGGAGATAGATATATGTAGAGAGAGCAACATGTAAGTGGGAGGACTGGCCCCCTCTGTCCGATGTGCCCCCCACTTCTACCTGACCCTGTCAGAAGGGGCTTTTTTGTCTCAAGTACTGAGGCTGACCTGGCTTTTCCACCTTCCTCCGGGGAATGGGGAGGGGAGACCCTGCTATGAGCCAGACTGGAATATGGGCTCATCTCTCCCCCTCCCTGCTCCTCTTTCCCCTCCTCTTGCCTTTACCCTGGGCAGTGCCAGCTGCCATAGGATTATGTGTCATCCTAGTAGGTGATGTCCCATATTAGCTGATGCCTCCTATCCTATCACACATGCGGTTTATGGAACATCGTGTGACATCCACTTTATGACTCATCAGTGGTATTATGATACTACATGACTGTGGTATTATAACATTGTGATGATTTTCGGTGACAGGATGTTACTGCAAGGTGCTTAAGGCCCCAACTCCCTGTTCCTAGGCCACTAAGGAGCACTGCCTGGGTGGCGCTAAGGCAGAGGGAGTAGCTCAGGATTGCAAAAGGAGCTAGGGGGAGATTTAGCCAGGGAGATGCTACAGGAGGGGAGGGGCGGCCTCCAGAGCTTGTGGTGGGGGCTGAGTGATGCCGTGGCTATGAGTCTCTCAGCCATGCCTACATGGCTCTGTGCAGTCCTCTCAGAGGCCCTTTGGGGAGAGTCCCTGCAGGCCAGAGGCAGCGCCTCTGCTGGGTTGGGGAAGGATGCTCCTTTTGACTAGAAGGGCTGTAGAAACTGCCTTCCCTGGAGAGGACAGCTGCTTCTGAGCAGTCCTGTTCTTGTGCTCCCTTTCTTAGGAGGGAGAGGGCATGTGGGAAGTTCAAGGCACTCACCCTGAGGGGTGGGCGGTTTCTGAGAACTCTTGAGCTCTGTCAGCCTAGCACCCTGTAAGGAGAAGGAACGGAGCTTGTGTACGCAGCAAAGCAGAACCGAGACTTTGTCCCGTGGAACTCCCAGCTCAGTGCTCCTTGGGCACCATCCCTGCATTGTCCTCTCTGTGCTGTGTGTCTGGCCAGCAGTTGGGTTGCTATGGCCTGTGAGGCCGCAGGCTCCTAAGGTTGTAGAGGGGTTAGGGGTGGGGCAGGGAATTGGGCCCTGACTCTGTCCCTTCTTTCTCACATTCCAGGACTGGGCCAGCACAACACAGAGGCTGCTGGTGCACCCAGGCTGGCCCTGTGCCCCCAGCCCTGGCAGCCTCCCCAGGATTGATCTGGGGGAGCCACAGAGCGCAAGCGAGAAGGTGCAGGGCCTCCTTTCCAAGGGGAAGCAACTCCTCAAGAAACTGGGCTCTAGGAAGGAGTGAAACTATGGCCCACCCTGCAGGCAGAAGCAACCAGAGGCCTACAGATGCCTTCAGGGCACTGTCCTGGCTGAGCAGTGAGGGTTCCTTCTGGGCCCTGAATTCCTGTTGTTGTGAGTTAACACTGTGGCACTTGGATGGGAATCAAAGAGACTTGGTGACGGTCAGAGCTGGATGAGTCCTTAGTGATGAACCCTCTAGATGGGCACCTTCCTCTTACAGGAGGGGAAACTGAGCCCTATAGAGAGTGAGTAACTTGTCCGAGGTCTGGACACAGGGCTTCTGCCTCCTTGTCCACCACCTTGCCTCCTCCTGGCTCCTGCCAAACTTTGCTAGACCCTTCTTTGGCCCTCCGCACTTCCAGGATGAGGACCCTGGAGGGAGAAAAGGGCCTGTCCCCTCTGATACTCTGGCTGTCCTAATCACGTCTTCCCTCCCCTGAAAGTTTGCACTGGATTCTCCTGGAGCCTCCTCCCCAGGGGGCAGGCGGGAGCCTTGTATATATGTACATACTCAGTGCCTCAGCCCAGCTTCCTCCATCTCGCTTCCACCGCACAGGCGGGGAGGAGAAAGGCCGTGCCAAAGCAGGCCTCACCCCGCCCCATCGTGCTCCACCCCTCCCTGCCAGGCCTCCTGGCCCCAGTGTGGTCCCTGCCCCAAAGACCCAGGGGACCAGTGGGCAGAAAGCAGGAGTTGGGTTTGCCTTATTTTGCTCATTGGATTCAACCTCTCTTTTGCATCATTTTCCTCTGGCCCCTGTCAGAGTCCAGGGCTGGGGAAAAGGACAGATTTATGAAGCTATTTTCATACATTCCCTGTTCAGAGTGGGTGGGGTTCTCCACCCTTCCCTTAACCGCCCCATGCCCCGCCCCCTGGCTGGGTGAGAGTCTCTGTGCATGTTTCCTTTGCTGTGGTGGGAGATTGTTTGAGCCCCCACCCCACCTTGGTCTCCAGGGGTATGGAATGGTGGGGGCATTTGTTTAAAAAGACATTTTATTATAATAAAGTCTATTTTCATAAAATCTATGCTGGCCTCTCCTTGGGCAAAGGACTTCTTGGAGGGGTGGGTCAAGCTGGGCTCTAGACTCTTGACTTTGGAACCCAGAAGTCACATATGAAGGGCACCTGGGGCAAAACTTAGTCAACACCAAGCAGCTTTTGAGTTCCTTTTTCTCAAAGTCTGGCAGCTCCCTGAGCCCCCGGGTTACAGGGCCAAATATTGGGGATGGGGCAGGGTTGTGCAGGGAGAAAGAGACAGGGGAAAGGGCATAGAAGAAACACAAACAGAAGGCTTGGTTTCAAGATGCTGGACTGAACACAGACTGCACTCTTCCTTCCCCCATAGAAATGCACAGAAATGATAGGTGTGAGGAAACAGGACAAACAAGCAAACAAACACTATACACAGTTCCATTTGAAGGCAGGAGAGAGATTCTCAATAGGTCAGAAATAGCAGGACTCTGGAAAAGACAGAGAACAGATGGGCATCCACACTCAGAAACCTCAGAGCAGGGTGTATGTGGGAGAGTTCTGCATGGTGCTCTGGGCCTACAGGTGATGCAAATGGGCACATGAGACCCCAGGGGCTACTGACAGTGTGATTAGTTGAGTTCTTAATCGGTCAGGTTAACTGACAGTTGCAAATCCTCCCTCTCCCATGGGCCTGGAGCAAAGGTGAGGATGTCTGCCCTCAGTTGAGAACAGTGGGGGTGGCAGTATGGATCAGAGACCAGGTGGTCCTTTAGGGGTCTGGCAACACCTGGCAGAAACAGGACGCATCACCTCCCAGGTGTAGAGCCAACATATTGTGCCCCTCCTCTTCTCACTGAGCCCCTCTGAGTCCCAGCAGCTGTTCCCACCCAGCCATCCAGCAGGGACTCTCCAGCAACATCAGCCAGGACAAATTAAGACTCAACAGACATTTGAAGAAAGTCAACTCCATTAAAAGAGACGACAAATGGGAATGGGAAAATAGATTCACAAGTCAATAAAACATTAGGAGAGAGCTTTAAAAAGACCATAGTTATCGTTGGGTAGATAAAAGAAGGAATTGTATATGTAAAACAAGAACAAATAGTTATGAAAAAGATCCTAATAGAGATCTCGAAAACTAAAAAAGTATTTTTTTTTTTGCTTTTTAAAAAAAACCCTTAATACACACTCGTATGAGCATATGGTTCATACCTGGAGAAAATTAGTAAGCTTGAAATTTGGGGTAAGGAATTCTCCTGGAGTGCTATACAAAAGATTAAAGAAATGAACAAACCAAAAGAAAAATCATGCATGGGGAATGCAGTCAAAAGTTTCAACATCAGTTTATAAGACGTTGTCTGAGCAAAACTGATCTCCACCTCAGTGTTAAGCAAGCATAGTGAAAGCAAATACCCATTGTTTTGTTTCTAATTTTAGGGGGAAAGCAGAGAAAAAATGATGGCTATAAATTTTCTAGAACTGAAGAAAGAGACAGATCCTTACATTCAAAGGACTCAAGTAAAATCTGTACCTAAATAGAATGCATAAATGTCTAGTGCTTAGAGATGTATTTAAAATTTTAAAAGATATCTTTTATGGCCAGGTGTGGTGGCTCACACCTGTAATGTCAGCACTCTGGGAGGCTGAGGCGGGTGGATTGCCTGAGCTCAGGAGTTTGAGACCAGCAAGACCATATCTCTAAAAAATAGCCAGGCGTTGTCATGGGCACCTGTAAGGCTGAGGTAAGAGGATTGCTTGAGCTCAGGAGTTTGAGGTTTCTTCAGCTATGATGATGCCATGGCACGCTAAGATGTCTTTTATGATTTAGTAGTCTGTGCATTTAAGAGCCATGAAGCCTTGTTTATTGTTTGGGGAGTGTTGATACTTAATTTGATTAGGAAAAAATATATATATATAATTATTATTTTGAGACAAAATCTCACTATGTCTTCCTCTGTAGCGTGCTATGGCGTCACAGCTCAGAGCAACCTCAAACTCTTGGGCTTAAGTGATTCTCTTGCCTCAGCCTCCCAAGCAGCTGGCACAACAGTTGCCTGCCCAACACCCAGCTATTTTTTTTTTGTTGTAGTTGTCATTGTTGTTTAGCTGGCCCCGGGCCAGGTTCAAACCCTCCAGCCTTGGTGTATGTGGCCAGCATGGTAAATACTGTGCTATAGGCGCCAGCCTAATATACCTTTTTAAATGGTTCCTTTTTGAGGCTGTTTTTCCCTAAACAATATTTATTATATATGATTGAACTGTTATTTAAAGCAAGTGGATTATTGTAACCTCACATTTAGTTACAAAGCACTGATTTTTTAAAATATACACAGCTTATGTGTTTAGTTTGGTTCCATTAGCAACCATCTCATTTTGTTTCTTATTCCTAAGAGTTTTAAATTTGTTGCCCAGATTAAAAATGTAAGTGATATTTATCTTAGACTATATATAAAGGAACATTGGTAGAACTTGTTTTGTCATTGGTTTGTCAAAAAGTTAATAAAGAATATGTTTAATTTGGCTCGGCGCCTGTGGCTCAAGTGGCTAAGGCGCCAGCCACATACACCTAAAGTGGCGGGTTCGAATCC